AGATAACTCTACCTACCATTTCATCTATCATTAAAAGAGGCTTGTATGGTATTTGTCAACTTGCATTGTCTTTGGTATTGATGCAGTATTCGGTTATCCATTTATGTACTGCTCAACAGTATGCTCCTTTCTTTCTTACGGCTATGAGACATGGCTGTTGAAAATGGTAGAAGTAATGAAGAGGCTAGGCTTGTTTTCGAGCATAGGTGTTAAATGGTATAATATTGAAAGTAGTGTTAAGTAGGGAAGAAAAATCAGCCAACGAGGTTGTGAATCTGCGTCGATTAAGATGTCTGGGTCATCGGCTTCCTCACTGAGCAGCAACATTGACTGACATAGGATTAGGTTAGAAAAGAGTTATAGAAATGGTCAAACTAAAACATATCATGCATCCATGAATTTTTTTATCATCGGTTCGAAGCACATAAGCGGGGGGGGGGGAGTATAGACTGTCTGTCTGGAGTCCTTGAGACACTAAGAAACCAATGGTTGAAGACTGTAGATGATGTGGTTGAAAATTGGCTTCAATGAGGTGGGATGCATTCACTCTTTGTTATCTGTCAAATGCATTACATCCTCGTGTTTCTCAGTGTAATTATGCTTTCTCTGGTACATTTCTTTGGATTTCCTTCTCTTGTCTATTCCTAACTTCACGTTGGCAACCTGAAAATTTAGTTAAGTTCTTATGACCATGCTCAACCATAGTAATCGAAATATTTCACTATGGACGACTAATTTTGTTATTAATGTTTTTGGATTTTTATTGCCATCTATTCTCATTATTTATTATTGGTTGTCAACTAGATACAGTCTTTCGAATGACTTGATCAGAAACGATTGTATTGTGGACAATGATATCCTGCTTGTCCAGTGTAGAATCGGTTCACAGTGATATCGAGGTTAGGGGAATATAGTGGTTGTTTACGGTAACAAATTCACTTATCTTTCCATATACAAAATCTCTATCTGCTGCTACGGTAACCAAGTTTATAAAAAAATTAATATTTTGCCTTATCATTATATGGAAATCACAACTTTTTGTTGTTGTTTTGTTCTCTGAGCTGGATAGTTTGTTTGTGAAGCTTTCATCGTCCTTCCGGACAAGTCTTTCATCAGTGATTTCAATATGGAGGAGGCTTCTGAATCAAAAACAATCCACCCAGGAGAAAATAGGTTCACCAAAAATATCCACCTGAGCTATACCTAGATACATATCTTCTCCATTGTTTTAATTTCATTCTTTAAATAAGTCTTTTATCCGTCTGGTCCGTAGGCTGCTTCCATGTTAGGTATCAGGGCTTAATAAGTCTCGTGGTGTAGTAGTTACCACTCTAGAGTTTGGATCCAGCTACTCGAATTTGCAGCCTTTTTGTGTTAATATTTAAATGGTAGATGGAGTGCTCGGTAGCCATGTGGGAGGTGTGGGTTCGATCCCTAGACAGGGCACTCCTAAAGCGTGAGTTGGTCGGCAAAGAAAGCCCAGGAAAGAGGTGAAGTTTGGCTGTGAAGTTGGCAACTGTCTATCCTGTAAAAATGTGGTGGTGTGATACAGACAATGTGTGCCAACGGAATCTTATTCTCACATGCTCCCACAGTTCAATAGTGCATTGGCAACAGAATACTATGTACATTTGAACATTCTATTTCTTGTCGTAAACCGAAATCCCACGCTCATTGATTGGTTAAAGAATGTAAACTGTAGATGCACAAATAGAGGTTTGATTAATGGAAAATATACCTTGGCTTCTGTGTCTTGCCTTCTGTTGTTACAAGAGAGCTACAGAAGTGAATTTCAAAACCTAAAGCCCTATGCTCCACTCGGAACTCAAGGAATGAAAACAAGAAAGAATAAAAATGGTTACTATGTAATTTGGGAGTCTGGCTGGAAGACACGATATGGTTAGCTGTCTTTGATCATAGGTGCCTGCGTTCTATCGCCAGTGTTAGGTGGTAGGTGTAATAGGGTGAGTAATTTTGAGGTTAGGCGTCGAGTGGTAGGCTAGGCAAGGAGGGGAAATCAACCAGCGAGGTTGTGAAGTTACATCGATTGAGATGGTTAAAAATGTGTTACTCATGTTTGTCCGTCGTCTCCCTCCACGGGCAATGTTAGCTGACATAGAATTGATGAGGTTGGAAAAGAGAGAGCTGGTAGTGGTGGTCAAACGAGAACATGACTTCATCACTCAATGAAATCTGTAACATTTAGTCTAAGCTAGCCAGTCACGTAGGGAGGTGTAAACTGACTGACTGATTGAGGTGTTCGAGATAGCAAGAACCGATGAAGGCTGGAGACAATTGGTGATGTGGCTGAAAATCGTTGTCAATGGCTATCGCAGATGCACTCACTCTTTGTGATTTGTCATATTTAATAAACTCTATTGTCCCTCCAAATTACTATTCTTTTTGCCTCACATTTCCTTCTATTATCTCTCTTTACTGTCTTCTCTTGTTTTGTGTGGTACATGGTGGGAGAGTGTCAACTCGAACTGGTGCACATCTGTGCAAAGTTGTATGTCCAAACCAGTCAGTCAGTCAGTGAGGATCTTCCTCTGTTCCCGTATTTGTACGTCTCTCATGCATGCTTCTTTCTTGTTTTATTCCTTTATGTTCCTAGTGGAACATGGGGCTTCAAGCTAGAGACTTGAAGTTTCGGTAGCAATGGTGTTTCTTTCTACGAGAAGGGGTTAGTAGCCTCATGCCGACCCTCCCTCCTCTTCACCAGTCTCATTACTGTCTTAGCTGGGTAAAGGAGTAGGTCTGCTGGGGATCGAATCCCGGATCAGATGCGTAGTCGGCGAGCATCCAACTGTCGTGTCACTGACACACGTTTATTATATATCCTGCATACTAATAACATTATACGTAAATACAGTTTAAAAAAGAAAACATTTTGTATAAGAAGGATAGTTCTAAAGGATATCTGTAGTGTTTTTGTTTTGGTATTATTGTGAAACAACAATTTTGGGATCACATTGTGTGTTGTTGATAAGGTCCATATATTTGCTTCTTCTTATTACAATTTTCTGCTTGATCATAAACATGATCGTATTTTTGTTTTACTTTTATTTAATTTGATAAACATATAACATCAGTGAATATCACCCCTCCCCATCTTTACACTTTTGGAAGTCTAATGCATACAACATTGACACATGATGATGATGATGATGTTTTGATAAAATTTCAGTTGTGTTCACTTAAGAAGATCTAAGTATTATTATTATTTTCATTTTTCTTTGTTAAGGAACATGCGTGTTTCATTATTTCGGATGCCTTCTGCATACTTTTCTCCTAATTAGTTATGTATAGATGGTTATTCGCATAATATTGTGTGTGTTTCATTGATTGATTATGACAATGTTTATAATAATAGTAATAATAAAGATGAATATACCCCACTAACTATAACATAATTTTTTCAAAAGAATGGATACTGAACAAGGAGTACTCTTTTCGATAACCTCTTCATCATCAGGCTCTACAGTTATATATACATTATAGTGAATGAATGAATTAGTGTTATGAACAACATTAATGGTGTTTAAATAACCTCGAATCAATAATATCAATAGACTACAGCTCATTAGCATCAACATAAAATAAGCTGAATGTCAGAAAGGCAAATTAGGAAAGATAATATTGCAAATTCATGAATTTATAGTCTCTACTGAAGGCCGGCCAGGGCAGCAGTAGTGGCTGGGTTGATTTGCTTCTTTTGAATACAGAGCGCACTGGTTGTTTGAGGTGAATTGCAATAGCCTCTGCTGTTTGGAGCATGCGGTGCTTCGACGATTTTGGCAATTTATTAGTCACCCGGTTGATTATAGAGAAGGATTCTTCCACGTTGGCTGGCTTTGTGGCCGGTTTGCAGCAAATGGTCCAATATCAAACTGTTAATGGTTTTAGGTACACCTTTACTTAGCCATAGTGGGAGATGTTCTCGAGCACCAAATATGTGTTGGGTATAGCTAAGTGATACTTCTAATAGACCGCTACTACTAATCTGATGCCTGAGTGGTTAGAGGCATGAATTAGGTCGATTTAGATGTATGTCTAAGAAAGATGTTTTGTGCATGGTGAACCGCCGCTTTCCTCGATGAGTAATGTTAGGTGATGGTGGTGGTATAAGAGGAATAGGTGTTGGGAAAAAGTTCGATGTGGTCATAGCAAAACATCTCGTCAATCCTTTAAGTCTTTGACAACTGGTGTAAGTCAGCCACGGGGGGTAGAGATGTAGACTGCTTTGTTTAGGTTGGTCCTTTACCTCGGGATGCCAAGGACACCAATGACTGAGAGAGACTATTGGTGGTATGGCTAGAAATCATTCTCAGTGGTGCAGATGCCTATTCACTCTTTTTAATCTTTCAAATCGATTAAACCCTCATATTTTTCCTTTCTTTCGTACGTTTCTGCTCATTAGTTTGTTTTTCTTTTTGAATCTTCTTTCTCCCCTTTTCTATAAATTTATCTGTTATATGGAGTAGGGCAGCGGCAGCTTGACGAATTACTGCATTTCATTGTAAAGTTCTATGTTGAAACTCAGTCTGTCAGTCATTGTGATTATATATTTTTGATTTCCTAGTGATATATCTGACCGAATTGATCAGCTTCATTTTGCTATGTCAGTTCGTAGAATAGACGCCTCGATACTATGAGGATTAGGAAGTCGAAATCACTTGATTGGTTCTAGTTTGCAGTAGTGGGGAGAGCAAGGGACTGGTTGCATAACGGACGCCTTTCGTGGGCTAGTGGCCAAGTGGAAATTTACTGTCTTAAAGCACTATTGGATAGGCGGTACACCCGTCTATCGAACCCCAAACAGAACGAAACTCGTCCTTTGAATTCCACTGCTAGTTGCCAGTGTAGACAAGCAATTTCTGGATAGCAAATGATTTTCTGGGTCTGTTGTAAGTTTCAACTGTCCTTTTGTCTTCAAGTGTTATGAATTTCATGGTGCTGATCCATTTTCCTTTCCTTTCTATTATATTATTTATTTTTAGACCATATTCATTCCTACGCTTAGACAATCAATCACCCACTCCTGTACCATTTACTCCAGACGCTTTCTTTGGTCCGGGTATCCCACATCAAGCAAAAGCAATACATTGTTTAGAGCATGGTGAAGTGGTTTGTGCTGTAACCATCAATAATGCTATACATCAAATTTATACCGGTGGTAAAGGCACTGTGAAAATTTGGGATTTAAATTCTGCTTCATCTGGTCTCTCACCGAATTGTAGTGGTGGGGGTGGTGGTGGCGGTTCTAGTCAAGTAAAGCTAACAAAATCATGTATTACAAGTCTTGAATGCCTACAACGGGATAAATATATACGATCGATTAAACTGACTCAGGTATGTTTATTTTGTTGCTACTGTGTAAGCTTCTTACATATTTACAGCTTGTTACTTTAGTTGATTGTAGTTAGCTGTGGAATGGAGTGTGGATATATATAGGCTGAGAAGACCGTTGAGTAGTAGAGTGACATTATGCGCCAAGCCCTCGGATTGACACGCCAGAATGGGAAACGACTAGTTGGGCGTCTGTTTAAAGGTAATATGGGAGAAATTATGTAAGGAGGAAATGAATGTCTGTAGGCAGTTGTATGGAGCCATCTAAAAAGATTGCAGGGAACAAAGTCAAATGGTGATTGGCTGCTGAAGCTATATGTTCCACTAAGAGCCCAAGAGAATAACGATAATGAATTATAATTATGGAATGGGAAATAATTAGAAGTTAAATGAAAAACGGGTTCCCACCGTAATTCTACTTACCACATTGAACTGAGGACCAGATCTTATTTTATTGTATTCATCATATGTTGTACCCATCTTTCGTGATCACAGATTGGTCTTGCTTTCCTTTCAGTTGTCTGAGACTGTCTAATTAGGGGTTATCAGTTTTCATCCCCTATTTACATTTAATTGTGATTGGAAGTGACAAGAGGAAACTTAGATGGGAAGTTCGTGTTGACGTCAGTTACGTATCACCCATTCCACACGACAGTTGGACATAACATTTGATGATAACATTAAAATGGTCTGATCTGAACTGCAACTCGATCTCATAGTTAAGCTAGTAGGATGCGCGGCTAGTGAACTGACGGTTCCTGGATTCAATCTTACCATGATTACCGTTCATTGGAATTGTAAACATATAGTGGACACGGGTGTGTCCCTCTACTTCTGTTACTAGCTCAGTATTTCACTAAATTATCTTATACTACTTGGAAGTAGGCTAAAAGAATTTACGAAAATCTTATGCATGTACTGTTGGGGATTGCGTATTTCCCCATAAATTTAAGCTATATTAATTGTAGGTCTTCAAAGGATTGTGTATTCACTTTTAAATATCAGTACATGCGTTGTACATTAGGCATGATTATACTGTTTAGTAAAGGATAGATTCTCGCAGTACTTCGGACTGTTATGAATGCCAAGAGCATAAATGTACTACTGGTCAATAATTGTCAGTCAGTCACAAATACTTCTGAATAGGTTTCGTTTTTTCTACGCTAAAGGTTGTTGGAGGTTCAGAGAAGTCGTGTATATATTTCAGGAATCATTATTATTGTTATTTTTTGTTTAAATGAACTTCGGGAATGGGTAAGTGATATGCAGTTGGTGGGTTTTAGGCATTATTGTGCTTAAGTATCACACATATCTTCAATCTGTCTTTAATAATATCGACTTTTAGCGTAGTTTTACTTTTGGACCTGTTTTCTGTCCCCTATGGTATTCCTGATTGTCGTAGATTGGATCATTCGGTGGACCATGGGGACAGGGAAGGCAGGTATACTTCGGACAAATCAAATGACTGGAAGATTTGGACGTCGCGGATGATTGATATCTGATGTCACACATACTCGAAGATTTACGGGTTGGTGAAAAGCAACAAGTTGGCAGAAGAGGAAGTGAAAATAGGACTTCAAGTGAACATAGAGAAGACAGAGTTGATGCAGATACCTAACCACCACCACCAATAACAAACATCGACCATCACCAATCGGAGGAGTCTAGAGAAAGTCATCTCTTTCACTTATCTGAGCAGCATCTTTTCAGTTACAGGCAGTCGAAACATATGAGGCTATCAAAGGACTGACGGCCAAGACACAAACCTTCATCACTCTGAAATCTGTGAGGAAATCTGCTGCACTCACTCAGCATAAGAGACCAGATTCGGATTTCCAACACTAAACTCAGGTCACTTTTCCTATTATGGTTCAGAGACTCGATGCATAATGTGAAGCATTTCGAACAGGCTTCAAGCTTTAATCAACAACTACCTTCACTGCATAATGGAGATCAGATGACTGGCTAAAAAGTATTAGCAACAAGCTACTCTGGCCATGAACCAGCCAACATTTCACAGCCCAACAAATATGCAGAAAGAAATGGTAGTTGATGGATTGATTATACTCTGATAAGGCTGTCGAGTGACACCACTGTCTAAGCCAAGCCTTTGAGTGGGACTTGTATAGGGAGCAACGAGTTGTATGTCTGAGGGTGACCTGGATGAGACTATATGAGTAGGAAATAAAGGCTTATGGTCAATCGTTGTGAGACACCTAAAAAGGCTGTAGAGACCAGGGTGAAATGTCTATGTACTGCTGAGGTGCCATTTTCTACCGGAAACGCAAAAGAATAATAATTGCAATAATCAATACCTGATTATGTTGGCTACAATGTCTTACTTATTTATCGATCAATCGGAGCATGCTAAGTAGCAATTTCAACACTTTATTTGCATGATCGTTACTCACTTATCAATACAAATTTCACTCTATGCGTACACACTATTCTCTCCTTCTTCCTATTTTACAGGATGGCAAAACATTAGTTGTCGGTGGAGAATCTAATACACTAAGTATATGGGATTTAGGTCAAGCTAGTCCATATCCAAAAAGTGAACTAACCTTTACTGCTCCAGCATGTTATGCATTAGCTGTATCACCTGATAGTAAATTGTGTTTCAGGTAAGTTATATATTTTATTGTTGTGTTGTTTCATGTGTTTTGTTCTGTGTGTGTGTTGTCTTGTCTTACTATTTTCCATCTGTCTCTCGTCCAATAAGTAGAGTAGTACGTGCAAATGATACATATTTTTGGAAATTTTTTAAAGATATACTATTGTCTTTTCATCACTTTGTTTTGTTATATTTAGTCGGTTAAATTCGTTTATTTGTTGTTTTTTCTTTCTGAACATTTTTTTGTCGCGTTCTGTTATTGAAAGTTCCTTTAGCGTCTTTTTGTCATGTCTCTAACGTTTCACTGTCTAAAATCAACATTGAAATATTTATCGATTAATAAGGGAGTACGTTTTTGGTGTGTGTGTGTGTGTGTGTACATGATTGATGGAATTCTCTTGTCACTAATAAATACTAGGTAACATTATCAATTTACCGAATGTATAGTCCTTTAGTAGATCACTTGATAGTCTGACTAACTCATTTGATACGGATTCGGCCAAGAGTTGACATCAGTTAGAGAACCATTGGAGAACCTGGGAGTACTGGATAGCAGTTTCGTGCTAGTTCGGGGCTCTTCAGCAGTATGCACTTGCCGCGAACCGTGGTTCGAATCCCAGGACCTTCCGGTTATAAACGCATAACCAATCAAATCTCATACTGACTAGCGACTGACTCCATACAGGAAGTTACCTGGAGTTCTAGCTAGAAGTCGTAACCAGCGGAGATAAGAGAACATTTACTCGTCTGTGGTTGCTCTATATTGGCAGAAGTTGTGGTTCATGGGCCATTGGGATAGGGTCTCAGTGGATGATTAGTCTACGACCTCACCTTATAATCGGAGGGTCCTGGATTCGAATACTAATGGGTACGTGCTGATGAGGAGTCTCGAACTAAGACAATCCAGCTGTACTCCCAATCGGTTTTCATTGTTCCTCTGACTGATGTCAACTTGAGATCAAACCTGTAAACAATCGAATCCCTGCAAAACAACAGTTGATCACTTATGCATAACTTTCTTATCAACAGTATTGCGTAACACGAGTTCGGATATTTGACTGCCCATACTTCGTCTTGATGACAAATCTCAGTGGATATGGAATTTAGATCTGAGACATTTAAGCGATTCACAACAATTTATTTATTGTTATATTTTGTTGATGGTGACTAGCAATGGAATGCAGGATACTCATATCGTTCTGTTTGCGACTCGTTAGCTGTAGATGTACCTTTGTTTCCATGTAGACTTAAACCTACTACCCTTCTTTCAAACGCCAAAGCGTTAACCACTAGGCCACATAAATCACATTTTACGTTACTTGGAATAGTTATTTTGAATTTCAATTGACTGGCTTTATATCTAGTCTCTCTTTCCTTTTCCAGTGGGACATAGGGCTCCAAGCTTTGGTGTTTGGAGTTCCAGTAGTATTGGTGTCATTTTTACTTACAGGATGGGGCTACTAGCCTCATGCCCAATTTTCTCTCCTTACCGGTCTTTCTACCGGTTTAGCGAGGTGTAGGAGTGCGTCGGCCAGGATTTGAACCAGGGACTACCTACCTTGTTGGCGAACATCCTACCTACTACCGAACCATCGACACCTTAAGATTAAAATGATGTTGTTTAGTCGGCGTTTGAAATATTGAGTGCTGGGTTTGAACACCTCAGTGGGAAATACCATCACTTATAGGTGATTCAGGTACATCCATGCGACGAGTCTCGATTGGGACAACATATGCACTCTGAATTCCACAACTAGCTATCATTAACCCTTATTACGCCATGTTGATCTCCGGGCATCGTTGAAGCATCCGTACTAAGAACTGCCGATATGTTATCAGAGACGGAACATTTCGGTCTGTCGTGACCCAAATCAATTGGGAACGGAAATTAAATTAAACAAAAATTTATTGGTTTTGCCTTTGGTTTTTGCTTATCACCATCATAGAGTAAAACGCATGAGTCAAATCTATGAGACAGGTTATTTCGTATTGATTTTTTAACTGAAGTAGTATCGTAACAGTAGAAGGCAAGACACGGGAGCAAATATTATATATTTATTGATCAAACCGCTATTCATATATATCTACAGTTTATATTCCTTAACCAGTCACTGATCTTGTGATTTTGATTTACATCAAACGACATGAAATAGAATGTTCAAATAGGTATATCGTATTCTTCTGTGAAATTTGATAACATAGAATTTAGTGTTGCAAATTAGAATTGATTTAGAATGACAAGTGGAACAAGTGAAATAATACTGAGGACAGTTCAAAGTAATAGTAACAATTGACGTAACAAAGGAAGAGAATACAAATTGAATAGACAGAATGAAAAAAAATGGTAGACCCAATATATGTTTCTGTTGCTAATACCGAATCGAACTGTGGGAATATGTGGGGCTAATATTCCCTTTGGCACACATTATCTGTATCACACCACCACAGTATGAATGAATCGATGAATGATGACTGCTCGTGAAAAGCAACAGACAAACTGAGTGGTGATCATAAGATTCATTCCGTATGTTTATTGTTTAGTAATAATAATAATAATAATAAAAACAATAATCAATAATGAGGTTGTAGATCTCTTATTTATGCATATTAAGCACTGGTGTGATTCACTAGATTAAGCACTTGATATCAAACCAAGTGGTCACATATTCAAATCCCACTTCCGCTTTCTGTGGCCAGACAGTGTCATTAGTTCAAGTACACTCGGTGTGATTCAAATGCGTGTGATTGTTGATTAACATGAGGCAGACACGGAACATTCCATAATGACTAGTTAGAATGTCATTAAACACCTCGATAAGTTTACTTCCTATTGGCTAATGATTGTAAACAGAGATACAACAAATATATTGATGTAGAATAGTATGGATCCATTTTATGCTGTTTGTTCTCATCAGCTGTGTACACCCTATGACATTTAATAAAGGCAAGTTATAGTACAATTTTAACATACGTTTTGCTTAGCATCATGAATTAGTCCTATTGTAAGCATTGTTGTAAGAAAGTCATATGGAAGTCAAGGGGGAAATGATGGTGAGGGAAACAAAGTGATGAAATCAGAAGATAAAGAGTTACTAAATAGAGAGAGAGAGAGGGTTACCAGGGTAGTTGATGTCCCACGACAGGTTACTTTTGAACACTTAGGTCAGGTTTCAGGTGTTGTATTGTGATAGGTTATGTGTTCCATGTATTGTGATGATTACAACACGTGTTACGCATACCAAGCCATCGTCTCCTTCGTCGAGAAATGTTAGCTGATATGAGATTAGACTGGAAGGGAGTTAGGGTTGGCCAAACCAAAACATAAAGCATATATCCATGAACTCTTTGGCAGTTGGTTTATGCTACGCAAATAAGTGTAGATTAGCTGGTTGGTGGGGACCTCCAGATGCTAAGAACCGATGGCTCGAGACTGTTGGTGGATGTGCAGATGCATTCATCCTTTGTGATATCTTATGTCCATTAAGTCCTCTTTTCTCTCTAAACCTATGTGTGCTACATGAAGTGTGACAATTTGAACTGTAGCACACTTCTGTGCAAAGTTCTATGTTGAAACTTAGTCAGTTAGTCTTTTATGTGATAACTGAGTAATATTATGACAACTGGAAGTTTGAAGTTTACACACACACACACACAACTCATTTTAAAAGAAATCACGCAAATGTATTAACAATTTTCTTCTGTGTTTTAATTCTCTCATAATTTTATAGTTGTTATTCAAACGGCAATATTGGTGTATGGGATATACACAATCGTCTTTTAATCCGTCAATATCAAGGACATGCTGAAGGTGCATCTTGTGTAGATATACGTCCAGATGGTACACGTCTGTGGAGTGGTGGATTGGATAAAACTGTTCGTTGTTGGGATTTACGTGAACATTGTCAAATAAGTCAAGTGGATTTTTCAGCACAAATATTCTCTCTTGGTTATTGTCCTACTGGAGATTGGATAGCTGTTGGATTAGAGACAGATCAAGTTGAAGTATTCGGTCCAGGTCGTCCAGAACGTTATCAATTATCATTACATGAAAGTTGTGTATTATCGTTGAAATTCGCTCACAGTGGTTTATGGTTTGCTTCTACAGGGAAAGATCATTGTCTGTACTCTTGGAGAACTCCGTATGGTGCTAATCTATTTCAGGTTAGTTAAATATATTAAGTGTGACTGTAACAACAGAAGACAAGGGCCAGGCAACAGATCAGTTTTATTACGAAAACCAACAGGTATTTATATGTATTTTACGTACATTAATAGGCTTCTGCCCTCAGAAAGAAGGCGGTCTTCTGATTGGTTGTTTGCAAACAAACGCAGTCTTCTGCTTTCTCGTTTTCGATATTTCTCGGAAATGCGAGCCACTTGTCTGCGAATCATATTTGTCCACGTCTAGGTCAGCTGTGATCGGTTGCTGAATCAGCCTAGATTAATTTCTACCAATCAGCGTAGATCAATGTCTACCAATTGGCTAGCAGCTTGCTCTCACCACATGACTACTTGGCTAATGTTTTTCTAGTCTACTTATCTTATTCCTTTACGTTCCGATTGAGACATATATAAGGCTTCAAGCTTGAGCTTTGAAGTTTCAGTAGGAGTGGTCTGATTTTTCGGTGTGGAGTTTGCTACCTTCACATCCAGCTTTCCCTCTTTACTGGGTTTACTACCGGCTAATTGATGTTTAGGAGCGCGTCGGTTGGGGATTTGAAAGCCGGACTACTAGCGTGGTTGAAGAGCATTCCACGGCTGAACTACCGACGCACACAGCGTAGTTTAAGAAATACTGGTTAAGTGGGATCAACCCACGGGAAGCATGGACCTAGAGTGAATGAATGGGTATGGTAAAGAATATGATTTTGTTATAACTCTTTTCATATTTTGATCCCAATCTAAATCAAATAAATATTTAAGTGTTGGTTTGTGGGGATTTTATTGATTGGTTACAGGATTTCATCATGAGCTGATATTGGTTAGAGAACCTGGGAGTACTGGAGAGCGGTTTCGTCAGCCTGGTTTGGGACTCTTCATCAGTACGCACCCACTCCAACTGGGTTCGAACCCAGGACCTTCTGGTTACCAAACGAACTCGTGGACCAGTGAGCCACTGGGACCCGATCCTGTGGCTCTATTCAGGCAGGTAGTTACCTGGGGCTCTAGTAGGAAGCCGTGACCAGTAGGGTTCAGCAGGTCGAAGGTGAGGACAGTTACTCATCGAAGACATTGTTAAGTGGATTGCGCTATGTCGTGAATTGTCACTGAATCGGGTCCCAGTGGCTTAATGATCTGCAAGCCCGTCTTGTAACCAGAAGGTCCCGGGTTCGAACCCTGGGGTACGTGCATACTAATGAAGAGTCCAAAACTGGGCTGACGAAACAGCTGTCCAGTACTCCCTGCAAGTTTTCCAATGGTTCTCTAACCGATGTCAGCTCATGATGAAATCCTCCAACCTATCAAACAAAATCCCTACAAACCAATACTTGAAAAATATTCAAACATAGTCGCAATGCAGAGCGACACATTGCCAACGTATTGTACAACCACAAACAGAAGCATTAAAATTATAGATTAAACAGGGACAAGGCGAAATATGAAGAATCAAGTTAACATATGGTATACAAATGGTGAGAACATTAATATACATTGTAGGAGATAAGTGATTGATAATTAAAAAGTTTATTGAAACATCCAAATGAGTGTATCTATATTGAGATTAGATTAATGAGGAGGGATTTTTGAAACAATCCTTCCTCTAGAGTGTATACATCGTGCAGTGCTAGAGCTTTAACACTAATTAACATAATTATTGAAGTGATATAAACTATCTTGTTCATTTGTGATATCCGACTGTCAACCAAAGGGCGTGTGTACTGTTCGGTAGCAGTTCGCTCTATCCTCCACTATGGCGAGTGAGACATGGTCATTGGAAAAGGAAGACCTGAAAAGGCTAACTGCCTTTGATAATTGATGTTTGCACTCTGTCTGTCATGTTAAATGTGGTTTAATATGGGGAATAATATATTCAGGTTTGGTGTAGAGTGTTAGGTAATGCTGGAAAGTTAATCGATGAGTTTGTGAAGCTTCATGTTAGCTGACATATGATTAGATTGATTAGAAAAGAGTTATAAGTAGTCAGTCGATGAACTGTTTGATAGTTGGTTTGAGCCAACCATGTAGGGAGGTGTAGACTGCCATTTTGGGCTGTTGGTCCTCGAAATGCCAAGACCATTGGAGATACCACTCAAAATCGTTCTCACTGGTGTCCTAATGCTTCTTCTCCATGTAATTATCATTTCTCTTGTATATTTCAGTTTACTCTATAGCTTGTTATACCCTCATTATTATTATTATTGTTTTTAATGAATGTGTACTATTTTAGGTCAAAGAAAACTCATCTGTATTGAGCTGTGACATATCACTGGATGACAAACTTTTAGTCACTGGATCGGGTGATCGTAAAGCTACTGTTTATGAAATAATTTATTGAACAACAACACAATGACACAACTTATAACTGAAACGTATGCATACTTCTCCTTCCCTTTCCTTTACACTTCTGCCTCCTTCCTTCCTTGTATTGTATTGTACTGTACTGTGTTTGTTTTCCTTACTACTACTACTACTGCTACTGCTACGGCTGCACTGTCGCTGTTATTGTTGTTTTTAAATACTTAGGACACATTTGTGACACAGCAACACAAGACAGGACAGTACAGCACACCACACCGCCCTTCACTACACTACACTACACCTCAAAGTAGTATCTATTAAAAATATAAACAGGCAAACACAAACGAGTATTTTCTAGTCATACAATCCAAATGAATATTAATTTTATTATTATTGTTATTACTACTACTACCATTTTATGGTATGTAATGTAATGTCATTTGTGTCTTGTCTTGTTTTTGTGACATTATTATTATTATTATGATTATTATTATTGAAAAGTGACAAATATTTATGAATTCGATATCCATCCCACTTCACTTACTTCTCATCACTAATCTGCTTGCTTTCCCTTTTTCATGCTTATACTTTTACCTACCTACTTCACTACCTATCTATCTATCTATTTTATCACGATTATCATCTGTTCTATGCTTTATTTCAGGCTGTTTATACCACTACTATTGCTATTATTATTATTATTGTTATTTTCGATTTCCTGTGTACCATTTCTGTAGAGAAATTGTAACTGTCGACTGTACACTGCGCTACACTACTTAGTTGTCGTGGTGGTGGTGGTGGTAGTGGTGGCGGTTATGAGGGTGTTTGGTGGTGTTCAGACACTCTCTTGTACTAACACAAATAAATAAACAAACAAACAAAAAATAGCGGCTCGCTCTGTTGTATAGGGCTGATTATTTATAATATACATCATATATACATACACACACATACATACACTCACATGCATATATATATATGTGTTGTAATGCCCACGGACAATGATGGCGACATGCAAATAGCTGTAGGAAACGAAGTTAATGATGATGATAATAATAATAAGCAGCAGCACACAGAATGCATTGTTTCCTCTCTTTTCCTTATCTTTCTCCCTCCCTTTGTTTGTTTGTTTGTCTCCTTCTTCATTCATGTATCAACTATCTCATATGCTTTGTTGTGTCTCAGGTCCATCCATATGCACATCATCCAGTCCATTTCATAAATATTCATAAACACCTACACACAAACACGCAAACACACATCCATCTACGCATACTTGCATCCTCAGCATTTGTTAAAGAGAGGAGAAAAATTCAGTCTATAGTTTTTACTGCTTTAATATTTTATTGTTCTGTATGGGCTCTGGGCTATTTTCATCGTCGTCATTATTGTTGTTGTTGTTGTTGTTGTTGTGATGACTGTTAGTGGAAGTAGTCTGTGTCCCGACACAAACACATACACGCATATATACATGCATATACATATATGCAGTGATTGTATCCCGGCTTTTTAATATCATGCGTTTTTTTATTCTCTTTTTTTAATATCCTTTCTTGGGGAAAATGTTTTTCTTTCTTTTTTCTTCAGTATTTTAATCTTTTTTGGGGGGTGCTTATTTATTGTATCTGTTGTTTTCTTTCGGGGGCTTTTTTTCAATGGAAAAAAAATGCATTCTTATCATAACAGCAGCAGCATTATCATCGTCAAAGTATCTCTCTTGTTATATTATATATGAATGCATAAAAAACTGTGTACAGTCTGTCGCATTATTAATATTATCATTATTATTAATAATAATAATATTAATATCACTATTATTATTGATAATCAAGTGAAAATCTTCTATGTTTTACCAATTTTTACTGAATCATTTATAGTCACTATCTATAATAACAATAATTATTATTATTAATATTATTATCTTGTATCGTGTCATCCATTTGCATTATTTCGACGATTGATCCTAATATCATATCTGTCTCCATGCCCGACCACCCCTCTCACCGTCTCACTCACTCACTCCCTCTAACTCCATTTTCTTTTTTTTGTTTCAATAATATAACTGAATTATGTCAAACTGTACTGACCCTTTTTGAATGATTGATGGAATGATTGATTGATTGTGTAAATAAGACGACGTCTGTTGTTATTGTTGTATGTGTATGTGTACGTGTGTGTTTGTTGGTGAGTGGGTGGTTGGGTGGATGCGATGGGTGTGTGAACAAGTCTCCTTATTTGTTTGTTTTATATATATATTGTAAACAATTGATTTTTCTTCTTAACATCACAATTTCAATAATATGTAACAATAAATATATATATATACACATATACCTGCATATAAAGCTGTTGTTTGTATTTATTATTATCATTATTGTTATTATTATTATTATTATTATTATCAATGTGTTTTAAAAAGAATACTAATTTCGAGGTAAAAATGTGTTATGACAAAGAGTGTTACTGTATTTGTGATAGATTGTCGTCTAACTTGACTAGAATGTACTTCCAAAATCCGACACTATAACCAAACTGTGATTTCTTGAATCTAACTCTTACACTGAGATATACACTAAAGTCAGACTGGGGAAAAGTGACAATTGGAGCAGTAGGAGACAAGAGTGAGAGTTGGTAATGGACTTTTTATTTAAGGAGAAAAAATCCATCCTATTAATACATTTTTAACCATATAAAAAGTTAGCTAGGACATAGTAGGTTGTTCTGATTGGTTGGCGGCTGGCTCAAGGTCAAACAGTGAGATGAAAAGTTGACCAATGAGATTGCTCCCTGTTCACGGAGTAGAATCAATTCAGATTTGAGGAATAAACACTTGTACCTCTGCAGCCAGCCATTGACTTGAAATGTTTTGGCTGCTTTCTATTAATCATCATCTATATATTCCTCATAAATCTCGTCCATAGCTCAAACCACACTGGAAGTGCAACACTAGTGACTGGCCTTATCCGGGTAGGTAGTTACCTAGGTTCTAATGAGAATTCGTGTCCAGTGGGGTACAACAGGTAGGATGTGAGGACAAATACTCGCTGATGACATTCGCGCAAATTGGCAGAAGTTAGAATTCATGGGCTGGCCATTGGATCAAGTCCCAGTGGTTTAATGGTCTAAGAGGTAGGTTGCCTTGTAACTAGAGGGTCCTGAGTTCGAACGTCGGTGGATGCGTGCTGTCGAAGGGTCCCAAATTAGGCTGACGAAACAGCTGTCCAGCACTTCCTGCAGGTTTTCCAATGATTCTCTAACCAATGTCAGTTCATTATGAAATTCTGAAAATACATAGTATCTTACATTTACAAAATCTCAGAATTTTAATCTGTAGATAGGCAAATCTGATTGGTTGTCTGGCCTTGGAAAAATAAGTCATAAATAAACGAACCAAAACCGTCCAATAAGGTTATGATGTTAGTACATGCATAGTTCATGGCTAACAAAGAATCTTGTCTGTCTTAAAAGAAAGGTAACTGATATGTATTTTCTGAAAGTTGTAGTAGGTTTTACCGAATAAAAAGAACTCGTTGCCTTTTCATTTCACGGCTGTTAAAAGCCTAAAAATTGCCATATGTTATTATAAATGCAAAATTTATAAACATACTTCGAAGATTATTTCAACTCAAAAGGCATAGTAGCCGAACTAGAATGTATTTATACATAATGTTAGCTCTTTTTATCTCCTGCAAATATGTTTGTTCTCGCTTTGTTCAAATTAGTCAAGGAAACTGGTTGTATGGAATTAATATTGTACATCATACATAATACTGTTCATAGTCCAATGGGGATGTGACACCGAATTGGTTGAAGCACTTCATTTTCGTTTAGCTCAGTATGTCCAGCTCAATATATTCAGGATACGAATCCGAATTCATCTACCTGAGACTTGGTAACTGGAAAAAAGTGTCATTGGCCCTCTCTCGTTCACACACACACAGACTAATGTTTGCCTCATAGACTAGAACATGAAGAATCGGATTTAATGTAACTGAGTTCCCAACAGCTAGTTTGTAGGGATTTGATTTCTCCTACGTTTGATTATGGATCCTGGGTTTGAATGTTCATAAGTTCGGTAGCCGATTCGCAGTCAAACGTGAAACAAATCAAGTCCTTACAAACTAACTCCTGGAAATTAATCTGATGCCTGCTACTGACTGGCTATATGATCAAGTTGCCTGAAGTTCTAGTGAGAAGTCATGACCAGTGGGATCCAATCGGTCGGGAATGAAGACGTGTATTCCCTGAAGAAATTGGCTGGTGGTCAAGCTAAAATCACATAAATTGGTAGAAGTTAGGATTGTCTACGATCTTAACTTGTAACATGAGTATTTTGGGTTCGAACCCTGACTGCTGGTGGATGCGCACTGTCGAGGAGTGCCAAACTGGGACGAAGCAGCTGTTCAGTACTCCTCTGTGGTTTTCAGTGGTTCTCTAGCTGGTATCAATCCGTGTTGAAACTTGTAATTGAGCTCTGAACTGTGCGTTTGGAGATTTGAAATTTTGTAAAAGCAGTTGGCAGAGTTCACTTTTAGATACCCAAGAGACGTGAGTGGACTAATGACATTGTAACGAGTAACTACGCCAATAGACAAGTTTGGACCCTTATCAACCCTCATATTTCCCGAATTAGCTTAACCTGTCCCTAGCCTAAGCTTAACATCAATCTTTCCCTAACCCCCTATCCTTAAACCGACGAGATATCCTGTTCATTCACTACTTTTCTGCATGATTATATTGTTATTTACCTCGTTTCTTTGCATTGCTCTGACTGAACATTCCAGAGTCAATGATGTGTTCGTGCCTGTTGATTGTCTAAAGTATAATGGTAACTCCAAACTTTAGTGACCCAAAAAGACGACCATCAAAATGGCCTTGATGAGTCTTTATCAAATGGTTAGATGAGTCCAAAGTACAGACGAGTAATTTAGAAAACATTCTTGTAGAAATCCAATATAATGTTTAAAAAAATAGTTATATTGGCTAAGTTCTTGTATGTGTTTCAAGAAAACTTCCTAATTCCTTTTTGGGGTCTTCAGTGAAAGTCCAAACCTATTTCTGTACATACTTTCCTCCAGATTAGTGTATGTTATGCTGTTTCGTGACCCATGAACTTAAAAATGAGACGGCACATCTTCTTGGAGAGATTTTCTGTA